CCTCCTCGACTCAAGTTGTCCGCTTGGGTATACAGTCTAGAACATATACCCAGGTTTTGAACCTAGAATAACTCAGCCTCATGCCGGATCCCTAGTAGGAACGCTTATCTGCATCACGTGCATATGACTTAGGGGACTCAACACAGGGGTTGGGTCCGTCTAGGACAGGTAACCTGAAATGAAAAAGACCATCCTGATGCATCTTACGTGTTGCGTGTACATTTATTTGTCTCGGACTCGCATGCTGACCGGCTTTTGAATATTTGGAAAAGTTGAAAAAGAGAGAAATAGCAGTGTAGAGAGTTAATTACCTATTTTAGAAAAACCAATGTCCAAATAGTGCCGAAACTCTGCCGGATTTTTGAGAAAAATGAAAGAAAAAAGAAAAGTGTTTTTATTTTTAAAATAGTTTGTTTATTTGCCAATGGAAAAGAAAAACAAAAAGAGTTTATTTTCAAAATAGTTTGTTTTAGGTGTCACTGAAAAAGAAAATACAAAAAAGAGTCTTGTTTTCAAAAATAGTGTATTTGCCAACGGAGAAGAGTCTTGTTTTCAAAAATAGTTAGTTTTATTTTCCCGAGCTACGCCAGTTTGATTCCCACAGGGTGTGGGATACGTAGGCAGCCCCCATCGGGTCCAACTTCCCTTTTTGCAAAATAGCCCAAAACAAAAAAAATTTAATTTTGTCATGAATAAGTCAGGTGAGGCCATTCTTGTCTAAAACAAGCCGAATGTCCCTAAAAGGGCGCTGGAAGGCTATTTTTGCGAAAACAGCCACCTTGGGTCATTTTCAACGGTTAGCGGGCACAGCCTTAAAACCTTCTTCTCGAAGTGCTACAAGGCCGTATCCGCAAAATCGGCTGTCTGTTTTAAATTAGAAATTTGAAAAAAGATAGTGTCATTTTTCCCTTTTAGGTCAAAATAAGTGATTAAATCACCTTAATAAATGTGCAGGATGAGCACGATTCAAAATGAACCTTTCTCAATCATGCATAAAATCCCTTTGGAGTTGCGTCTGTGGTGGAACGATCTAGGAGGAGAAGGGCAAGATAAAGTCAAAAAATATTTGAAAGGGCTTACCGATGTGTTGGAGATTGTGCCTCGGGGAGACATCATAAGAGCATTGGTCACATGCTGGGACCCGGCACACAACGTGTTCCATTTTTCAGACTTTGAACTCACCCGGACCTTAGAAGAAATAGCTGGATACATCGGAAATGCTGAGGTTCCTTTAAGACACAAGTACTTGGTTGCCCCGAGAACCGTAGCCGTGCACAGATTCTTAGACTCACTGAAGATAAGCAGGACGGTCCACAACACAGATTTGGCGAATGGCTTTTGTACTCCACACTTCATATACCACAGATATGGCCACATAGGAGGGTTCAACAACCCGGAAAACAAGATATGTAGCAAAGGAAACCGCCAAAAATGGGAAGAACATAGACGTTTTGCTTTTATGGTGGTCTTTTTGGGGCTTTTGGTATTCCCCAGGAAAGATGGGAACATTGACATAATAATAGCCGGGGTCGTCAGCACTCTACTCACTCAAGCCAAAAGCACTCTTGCGCCCATGATATTAGCTGAAATCTTCCGCGCTCTTACAGCCTGCAAAGCCGGGGGAGACTTCTTTGAGGGGTGCAATCTATTGTTGCAAATGTGCATGACCAAACACCTGTGCCATCGTCCTCAGTTCCTGAGTTATGGGTCTACAAAGAAAACTTGTATAGAGGAGTTTTATACGAGGATTAAGGGGGTCAGCCTGCCTGAAGGAGTCACGGGTTGGACGTCATACTTTCGGTCCCTCACTGCCAGTCAAATAGAGTGGACGTTTGGATGGTTACCTGTCAATGAAATCATATATATGCCAACAGCGGGGCCACACTTCCTCTTGATGGGTCATAAGAGCATTCAGCCTTATGCTCCGTATCGGGTTTTAAGGCAACTCGGGAGATGCCAAGTAGTGCCAAAAGACGACGATCTTAGTATCCAAGTGGTTGAGATTGGTCCTGATGGCCAGTTTCCTGAAGCAAAGGTTCGCCAGGTCTGGAGCGAATGTCAATACTTGGTGGCGAATACCTGTGTACAGGATCGATCTAAAGGAGAAGTGTCACCTGAGTATTATGCCTGGTATAGAAGGGAAGTTGCATTTGGGAGGCCGGCTAAAAGACCTCACCTCCAGGATTTTGCCGAATCATCGCAAGAACAATGGGCCTGGCTAGCTAAAGAAAATGAATACAGAGCTAAAATAGGAGAATTGGAAAGGCAAGTCCGAGACCTTCAGTTTAAAAAATAGTGTGCAAGCCGCAGCCGATGAGGGTGAGAAGAAGAAATTAACCAAAGAGAATGAAGCCTTACGAGCCCAAATCCGAAAGATGAAGATAGCGGCTGAAAATCCCGTTAGGAGTGCCAAGGGTTGCAAAGCTTATCAAAAATCTAAGACAAAAAGTGAGTGACTACAGTTTTGACCTCAACAAGGCAGAAAGGGAATTAGCCGGGGTTAGAAAACAATTGGCTAAAAACGCGGAAGAACGGGCCCGCATGGTTAAGCAGTTGAAGGAAGAATACGATAATGAGTTCACGGGATTAAAGAAAAGGGTCATTGCCACAGAGAACAAAATGATCAAACATGCGAAAGAATTCAAGGTTGAAAGAGAGCACTGCTACACGGTGTTGGCACAATTAGAAATGGACTTGCAACAACTCCAGGAACAAAACCAGGTAGCTGAGCAGACTTTGGAGGCCGGGGCCCAACAGATAGGGCGGTTGCTTCAAGAAAAGGGCAGAATCAGAGAGAGAATCTTAACCGTTGCTCGCTACATTACTAGGAAATGCCAAGTGTGCGAGAACATGACTCGCGCCACCTTCTTTGCATCGGTGATGATATTTGTGAAGCAGATAATGAGTGACCTGGACAGACTTCAACGGGAACTTGCATATAGGCCCGTGGCGAGACCGAACGATGTCCCGCGGGCACCAGGAGCTTTAATGTACTCATGACTGTCATTTGAGTCTGTATTTCCTTTTCTACTAGAGGCTGTCAGCTGTCTGAGTCTGTATTTTCTTTTCGTTAAAAGTCAGTCAGTTGATTGAGTCTGTATGTTCGTTTGAAATAGAATAGGGATGGTGGAGTCTGTAGTTCTTCTCTTCATTAGAGTCTGTTAGTTGTTTTAATCTGTCAGTGTTGAGTCTTTGTAATCGAAGTATTTGCTATCAATGAAATTGAAAATCCCAAAACATTTTGCTTCTATTTTACATTTATTTGCAAGAACTACGCTTGGTCTGATTCATGCGGGGTCATGATACGTAGGCAATCTCCATAGGATTCGACCGTAATAAAAAACAAACAAAAAAAAGGCAAAAAGAGAAAATAAAAAGGGAGCAAGAGAAAAGGAAAGAAACAAGCGGAAAAACAATTTTGAAGAAAGGAGAGAATAGGAACAAGAAAAACCGAGGCACGTGAAAAACAAGAGAGGAAAGAAAAACAAAAAAGAGAAAAGAAAAACAAAAGAGAAAATAAGAACCCAAACGAAAGAAACATCGGCAAGACAAGAGGGATTGAAAAATAAGGACAAAGAGGAAACAAAGGCAAGAGTGAGAAAGAAAGAGCGAAAAGAAAAGAAAAGAAGTTGAAATCGGGAATAAGGAAAGTCGGGATGACGCAAGCAGTAGAGCAAATGCATAATAGAAACCGTTAACTGCTTAGGCGCATTCATTCCCCAAAATGTGTGGTTATCAAATCTGTCACTGCCCTAACCATTAACCAAGTTGTTGTTGATCTTAAGTCCTGGCAGGTGGTTAGTTGATTGGCATTCTGGCAACCCATTCCTACAACACCCGATCAAAAGACAAGCTGAAAATGACAGGCCAAGAATCAGATACCAGTATTGTGGACCCCGCGAAAGAGGTAGAGGTGATGGATGTTAATGCAATGAGGGAGGAAATGTATAAGTTGAGGCAGCAAATGGCCGAAATGCATCAGGCCTGGGCTAAGGGTCAGCTAGCGCCAGTTTATCCCTCCAATCCAGCCTATATCCCACCTTTGGCTCAGTCTCAGGAGTCTCCTACTGTGAATTCATCTCCAGCTTTCCCTTTCTACCAACAGAGTTATGGCACCACCTCCTATCCTCCCCAAGCTCCACCACCCAAAAAAAATCCTCCTCCACCAATCACCCCTGTCTTTGTAGCGCCTCCACCTGCCACATTGCCAAGATCTTCCAGTGAGCCACTGTTTCAAACTCACGATAGCCAGTACTAACCTCCTGAGCCTACCTTTAAAGCTCCTGAGCCATATTCCTACACCCCTCGCTTTGAGCTCCCGGTGGAAACTGAAAAGCCGCATAAGCACCCGGAGCAGGAAGAGATATTTCGAAAAGTAAAAAGCTGGAGCAATCCTTCAGGATCATGCAGGGATTGGGTGGCCAAGTCAGTGTGGCCTATAAGGATTTGTGTCTGTTCCCGGATGTTCAGTTACCAGCAGGGTTCAAAATGCCTAAGTTCGATCTGTATGACGGTCATGGTGACCCGGTAGACCACCTGAGGGGATTCTGCAGTAAAATGAGAGGGGCAGGTGGAAAGGATGAGTTACTGATGGCGTACTTCAGCCAGCGTCTGAGTGGGTCTGCTTTGGAGTGGTATACACGACAGGACCATGGTAGGTGGTATACCTGGGATGACTTGGCACAAGCGTTCGCCTGCCATTTTCAGTACAATCTAGAAATTGTTCCAGATCGCCTGTCACTGATAAAACTCGAGAAGAAGCCCGGGGAGAGCTTCAGAGAGTATGGGTTCCGCTGGAGAGAACAGGCCGCGAGGGTCGACCCTCCTATGAAAGAAAGCGAGATGGTCGATTACTTTTTGCAGGCTTTGGAGCCGACTTATTTTGGTCACTTGGTAAACGCAATTGGCAAATCTTTTAATGAAGTTGTGAAGATGGGAGGAATGGTTGAGGAAGGACTGAAATCCAATAAAATCATGAGCTATTCAGCGATTAAAGCAACCACACAGGCCATCCAAAGCGGCACTGGGGGCGTGCTCGGGAAAAATAAGAAGGAAGAGGTTGCAACCGTTGAGTCCGGAGCTTGGTCCAGATCTAGAGGCCCTTCACCCTACTACAATCAACCCCGACCCCACCACCAAAATTACCCATACACTCCATATATCCCTCCACAACACTATTACCCACCGCCAGATCCACATTTTTCCGTCCACCATGCTCAAACTTATACCCAGCCTCCGGCTCACGCGCAATGGCGTGCGCCGGCTCTCCAAAACTCATACCCAGCTCCAAAAAACACCTATCCACCCCCAAGAGCCTACAGAAACCCCCCGGAGCAGGTCACCGACCAAACCCAGCCTTCAAAAATGAGAGATTACAGAAGCAAAAGACTTTCACTCCACTGGGAGAATCATATACCACTCTTTTTCACAAATTGAGGCAGTTAGGTCTGTTGAATCCAATTGAGCCCAAAATGCTAAACCCCCTTCCTAGAAATTTGGACCACTCAGTAAGTACTGTTCGGGAGCCCTCGGACATGATACAGAGAAGTGTTGGAAACTAAAAACAGCTGTGCAGGAGCTCATTGACACTCACCGGATCGAGGTTCAGGCCCCAGATGCACCAAATATTAACCAGAATCCGTCGCCGGCTCACCACGAGGCCCACATGATTGAATTGATACACAAGGGAGGGGAGCCCAAGAAACCCTCGCAAATGGTAATGATGATCCGTGCTAGCGAAACCAGTTCAAAGGAAAAGTTAACCAGTGGGAAAGCGGTAGTCCAGTTGAAAGGGGTGGACAGTAAGCCAACTGTGGTAGCCGAAAAAGGGTCATCAAGCATTGTTGCAGTAAAACCAGAACAAGCAAAAGTGGTGATACAAGGGGTTGCAAACAAACCCGTGGTGGTCATGAAGGGTACTCGGATAGAGCTAGTTATCATAAAGCCAGTAACTCAGTTGCCAGTGACCAACAGCAAAGCCATTCCTTGGAGTTATGAACAGGTGGTGGTGACATATAAGGGGAAGGAAATCAAAGAAGAAGTTTGTGAGGCGCAGGGTCTGACTCGTTCGGGAAGGTGCTTTGCCCTCGAAGAGTTAAGAAAAGCCAGGGTCCCCAAAGACAACCCGGTATTGGTTAAGAAGGCCGTGACAGAAGAGGAAGCAGAAAAATTCTTGAAAAAGATGAAAGTGCAGGATTACTGTATTGTTGAACAGTTAAGGAAGACACCAGCCCAGATTTCATTGCTTTCATTGCTTATCCACTCAGACGAGCATCGCAGGGCGCTAATGAAAATACTAAATGAGGCCCATGTCCCTGATAAGATCTCGGTGAATCATTTAGAGAAGATAGCAAATAAAATCTTTGAGGTGAATAGAGTGACCTTCTCCGATGATGAGTTGCCCGTAGAGGGCACGAAACATAACATGGCTCTTTATCTGACAGTGAAGTGTGAGGATTCTGTAGTCACCCGAGTGCTGGTTGACAATGGGTCTAGTGCAAACATCTGTCCTTCGTCCACGTTGAACAAGCTGAAGGTCGACGATGAAAGAATTCATAAGAACAATATTTGTGTTCGAGGGTTCGATGATGGGGGTAAAGACTCAGTGGGCGACATAATACTAGAGTTGACAATCGGGCCAGTGGAGTTCACTATGGAATTCCAGGTACTAGATGAGGCGGTCTCTTATAACCTCTTGTTGGGGCGACCATGGATCCACGCCGCCAAGGCGGTACCTTCTACATTGCATCAAATGGTCAAGTTCGAGTGGGACAGACAGGAAATTGTAGTGCACGGTGAAGACAATATGTGCGCTTTAAGTGATGCCATTGTGCCCTTCATAGAAGTTGACGATGATAAGGGGCCATGGGTCTACGAAGTCTTTGACACAGTCTCAGTGGAAAAGGTCCTAGAGGGGAAAAGCATCCCAGTTCCTAGAATAACAGCCGCAACTGTCATGGTGGCCTCGGAAATGTTAAAGAATGGTTTCATACCGGGTAAAGGTTTGGGTGCTGATCTTCAAGGCATTGTGCATCCAGTTTCTCTTCCCAAGAATCTGGATACTTTTGGATTGGGGTTCAAGCCCACAGCTGCGGATGTAAGGCGGGCCCGCAAAATGAAGAAGAGGGCATGGGTCCTTCCCAAGCCAATCCCACGCCTGTCCAGATCATTCATCAGGCCAGGTATCAGAAAGCAACTGTTGTCAAAAGTTTCTGGGTCATTGATTGGTGCTGACGGAGACTTGGATAAAGGGTTTGAAAGGTTGTTCGCTGAGGTTAACATGGTTGAGGCCGGGGAAGGGTCAAGCAAGGCAAATGTGCAGTTCGTCGGACCACGTGCAAAAGTCAACAACTGGGAAGCTACTCCTCTTCCTACTCAGAGGGAGTCTTGGTAGTGGGTTTTGATTTCCTTTTGTTGTCTGGATTATTCCAGGGTTTGTAATTCAGATATTATGTTCTGTCCAATTGGATGTGTTAAAGCCCTGTTATCTTTATATTCAATGAAATGTAATTGTCTTTCTTTCTTCATTCCTAATTTTGTTTCCGTTTTCTTTTCTTCTCTGTACAGTTCTTTTTATGCTGATATCAATGACATGACATGCATGAGGAATCTTCGGCCCAGTTTTAAAAGCCCATCTAGCTCGAAAATAATAATACAAGAAATTGAGCGTGATGATGAGTGGGAATATGATGATGACGAGGCCTATGAAGACATTAGTAAGGAATTAAGCCATTTAGAGGAAAAACCCAAACCTAACCTAAATGACACGGAAGCAGTTAAACTAGGGGACCAAGATAATGTCCGTGAAACTAAAATAAGGGTCCATTTGGAACCACAGCTCAGAGAAGAGATAATTAAAGCACTGCTTGAGTACAAAGATATTTTTGCATGGTCATATGATGATATGCCGGGTCTAAGCACTGACTTAGTGGTTCACAAATTGCCCACTGACCCAGCACTCCCTCCTGTCAAGCAGAAGCTGAGAAAGTTCAAAACGGATATAAGTGTAAAGATCAAAGAAGAGATCACCAAGCATTTCAATGCGAAAGTCATTCGGGTCACGCGGTATCCCACCTGGTTAGCCAATGTTGTGCCTGTGCCAAAAAAGGATGGCAAGACCAGGGTGTGTGTCGATTATCGGGATCTTAACAAGGCAAGTCCAGAAGACAATTTCCCACTGCCGAACATCCACATATTAATTGATAATTGTGCCAAACATGAGATTGGTTCTTTTGTGGATTGTTACGCGGGTTATCATCAGATCTTAATGGATGAGGAAGATGCAGAAAAGACGACATTTATCATGTCGTGGGGAACATACTGTTATCGGCTCATGCCGTTTGGTTTGAAAAATGCTGGGGCAACCTATATGAGGGAAATGACAACAATATTCCGTGATATGATACACAAGGAAATTGAGGTGTACGTGGATGATGTGATAGTGAAGTCTAGAAAGCAGTTTGACCATGTCAGGGATCTGAGGAAGTTCTTCCAAAGGCTTCGCAGGTACAATCTCAAGCTCAATCCTGCAAAGTGTGCTTTCAGAGTGCCGTCTGGAAAGTTGTTGGGATTTATAGTCAGCCGCTGGGGTATTGAACTAGACCCGTCAAAGATCAAGGCTATTCGGGAATTGCCACCTCCGAGGAATAAGACCGAGGTGATGAGTTTGTTGGGGGAGATTGAATTATATCAGCAGGTTCATCGCTCAGCTCACGACAACTTGTGAGCCAATCTTCAAACTGTTAAAGAAAGATGCTGCAGTCAAGTGGACAGATGAATGTCAGGAGGCTTTTGATAAGATAAAAGGGTATTTGTCGAACCCACCCGTGTTGGTCCCGCCAGAACCAGGGAGGCCTTTGATTCTATATTTGACGGTTTTGGATAATTCATTTGGCTGTGTACTGGGGCAACATGATGTTACTAGCAGAAAGGAGCTGGCTATCTATTATCTCAGC